AGCATTGTGAAAACATTGCAAGAACAAACAGGGGTTCCCCCACAACCCTTTCTGAACACCAGCATGGCCTATACCTATACTGGTCAACCAACAGAAACAGTAATGTGTGTTGAAAGGCAATACTACTTTAGGACTTCTACGTGCAGCGGGCCAGCCAGCTACACTGCACACTCTGAAGCTTGAACATTGCCCAACAGCAATCCTGCCCCCCAACATTTGCGCGCAACAGCTGGCAAACCCAGATCCGCAGTCTGCACGTTTTCTCCGTGTGTCCCTGCCTTGTGCTCAAAAAATCTTTGCCATGCAAGTGATGGCAATTAATGCCCCTGAGCTGCTAGAGCCCCTAAGCCTTCCTACTTCTGAGCCAACCGAAACTTCTTGTACTTCTTGACTGCCACGGCCGCGTCAAAGAGGATGCCCTTGACAGCCTCCATGGAAGTCTTCTTTTTCTCAAACTTCTCCAGCTCCTTGAGGGGGCCGCTGAGGATGGCCACCTGGTCACGGCTGCCTTCTTTTTTCAATTTCAGCAGCAGCTTCTTCATCCTGTTGATCCTCGTGTTTGTCTCACTCTTTGCCATGCCAGCTGATGACAAGATCTCAGCCTCAGCATCCTCAGGGTCTTCCTTCTCTTGGCCTGGGATGCCTTGGCTCTCATCATCTTCTTCTTCCAGGCTGCCCTCACTGTTCTTGTCCTTGAGCTTGAGTTGCTTGGTAAGGCTCTTCCCAAGGTTCCTGGAAATGGCTGCTGTGGCTGATAAGGAATCGCCCTCATCAGTCCCTCCAACGCTCTTGGCCTTCAACTCCAACCACTGGCTTTGCTGGCTTCATAGGTGTGGCTGTGGCTGGTGTCTTCATAGCTGGTGGCCTTGTTGAGCTTGAACTCCCACTCATCATCATCATCATCAAGTGCCTTCCTGCAAGCAATTGTCCCTTTCTGGATCCTCCTCATCAGCTCCTGCAATCCATACTGCCTCATCATCTTATTGAAAGGCCAGCTTGACTCCTTCCTCTCCCCAGAAGTCTTTGACAAGGCCACCAGCTCCTTCATGTAGTGGCTGCACCCCTTCAAGGTCCCACCATTCTTGAGGAAGGCCCCCAGCAGCTTCTTCTTGGGCTCCAGGCTGCCAGGCCCCTTGCACTGTGCATCAGCTTCTGGGTTCTTCAAGGAGCCCCTGGCATGAGCAAATCTCTGCCAAAGTGCCTCCCTCTGGTCCGGACAGGCTCTTCTGGAAAAGCTCAATCTTTGCCTCCAGGGACATGCCTTCCTCTTTGGGGGGGGGGATCAAAAGGTAGAGAGGCAAGGTTTGCATCCTTCTTGACCTTAGGGGCACTCTTCTTCATCACCTTCTTGGCCATTGCCAGCCAGATTGAAAATGCAAACACTCTGAACAATGGCTCTCACAAACTGGGCTGAACCGTTTCTATCCTGAGCATTGTCCTCAAATGGTCTTTTTCCATGGCAGTGTAATTCCCAGAAAGAAATTGGAAAGTTTTCTGGGCAACATACTGCCAACTGGGCTGGTACATGTCAAACTCAGGGCTGTAGAGGAAGAAGGACAGCCAGCCAGCTGAATGCTGCCACACCAGCACATCATCTGCTCTAAACTCAGCCACAACTCCAGTCATTGCTGACAGTGGCTTTTGAGCCCGCTTGGCTGCGCCACGCTTTGTTGGGTCACACCAAACATGGAGGGCAGCACTTGCGCAGTGTCGCCCCTGCACCCTTATATGTACGTATAGCTGGAACACCTGACTGAAACGCGCAAACCAATAAGGCTTATTGAAGCGCGCAAACCAATAAGGCTTATTGAAACGCACAAACCAATAAGGCTATTGAAACACAAACCAATAAGGCTTATTGAAACAAACCAATAATCATGACGCTTCAGAAATGCCACACATTTCAATAAAAACGCTGTTTCAATAATGACATCACAAATCAATAAAATTATTGAATCTTTTCAATAAGGCGGAGTCTGGGTTTCCGCATGTCACGAGCGTCCCCCGCGCCAGTCTCGCTCGGGGGTGGTTTCCGCATGTCACAAGCGTCCACCGCGCCAGTCTCGCTCGAGGGCGGTTTCCGCATGTCACGAGCGTCCACCGCGCCAGTCTTGCTCGCGGGCGGTTTCCGCATGTCACGAGCGTCCACCGCGCCAGTCTCGCTCGCGGGCGGTTTCCGCATGTCACGAGCGCCCACCGCGTCTCGCTCGTCCGCATGTCACGAGCGTCCACCGCGCCAGTCTCGCTCACGGGCGGTTTCCGCATGTCACTAGCGTCCACCGCGCCAGTGTCGCTCGCGGGCGGTTTCCGCATGTCACGAGCGTCCACCGCGCCAGTCTCGCCCACGGGCGGTTTCCGCAATGTCACAAGCGTCCACCGCGCCAGTCTCGCTCGCGGGCGGCTTCCGCATGTCACGAGCGTCCACCACGCCAGTCTCGCTCGCGGGCGGTTTCCGCATATCACGAGCGTCCACCGCGCCAGTCTCGCTCGCGGGCGGTTTCCGCATGTCACGAGCGTCCACCACGCAAGTCTTGCTTGCGGGCGGTTTGCGCATGTCACGAGCGTCCACCGCGCCAGTCTCGCTTGCGGGCGGTTTCCGCATGTCACGAGCGTCCACCGCGCCAGTCTCGCTCGCGGGCGGTTTCCGCGTGTCACGAGCGTCCACCGCGCCAGTCTCGCTCGCGGGCGTTTTCCGCATGTCACGAGCGTCCACCGCGCCAGTCTCGCTCGCGGGCGGTTTCCGCATGTCACAAGCGTCCACCGCGCCAGTCTCGCTCGCGGGCGGTTTCCGCATGTCCGAGCGTCGCGCCAGTCTCGCTCGCGGGCGGTTTCCCCATGTCACGAGCGTCCACCGCGCCAGTCTCGCTCGCGGGCGGTTTCCGCCACGAGCGTGCGCCAGTCTCGCTCGCGGGCGGTTTCCGCCTGTCACAAGCGTCCACCGCGCCAGTCTCGCTCGCGGGCGGTTTCCGCATGTCACGAGCGTCCACCGCGCCAGTCTCGCTCGCGGGCGGTTTCCGCATGTCACGAGCGTCCACCGCGCCAGTCTCGCTCGCGGGCGGTTTCCGCATGTCACGAGCGTCCACCGCGCCAGTCGCTCGCGGGCGGTTTCCGCATGTCACGAGCAGTCTCGCCCGCGCCAGTCTTGCTCGCGGGCGGTTTCCGCATGTCACGAGCGTCCACCGCGCCAGTCTCGCTCGCGGGCGGTTTCCGCATGTCACGAGCGTCCACCGCGCCAGTCTCGCTCGCGGGCGGTTTCCGCATGTCACGAGCGTCCACCGCGCCAGTCTCGCTCGCGAGCGGTTTCCGCATGTCACGAGCGTCCACCGCGCCAGTCTCGCTCGCGGGCGGTTTCCGCATGTCACGAGCGTCCACCGCGCCAGTCTCGCTCGCGGGCGGTTTCCGCATGTCACGAGCGTCCACCGCGCCAGTCTCGCTCGCGGGCGGTTTCCGCATGTCACGAGCGTCCACCGCGCCAGTCTCGCTCGCGGGCGGTTTCCGCATGTCACGAGCGTCCACCGCGCCAGTCTCGCTCGCGGGCGGTCCGCTCCGCGGTTTCCGGTGTCGTTTCCGCATGTCACGGCGCGCACCGCACGAGCGTCTCTCGCTCGCGGGCGTTTTCCGCATGTCACGCTCGTCCACCGAGCGCCAGTCTCGCTCGCGGGCGGTCCATCCACCGTCACGCGTCCAGCGCCAGTCTCGCTCGCGGGCGGTTTCCGCATGTCACGAGCGTCCACCGTCTCGCTCGCGGGCGGTTTCCAGTCAGCCTCGCGCGCCCAGTCTGCACCACACCGCCGTCCCCGCAGCCAGCCAGTCTCGCTCGCGGGCGGTTTCCAGCCACGCCAAGTCTGCGCCCGCCCAGCCAGCCAGTCTCGCTCGCGGGCAGTTTCCAGCCAGCCTCGCGCACCCAGTCTGCACCACACCGCCGTCCCCCCAGCCAGCCCCACACCGCCGTCCCCCCAGCCAGCCTCGTACGCCCGGTCTGCACCCCCAGCCGGCATCGCACGCCCGGTCTGCAGCACAACGAAATGGAAATCCCTTCTTATCTCCGTCGTCACAGCTTGTATCGCTCCCAGGCACCTTAAGAGAAAACCTAAAGCAGAACCCAAGCATCAGAGATGCTTTTGGGAAAAAAACTTTCTTGAAAAGCAGCTCAAGGACAAAGGAACAGCAAAAGCAGAAGAAAGGAAAAGCACAAAAAGAGCAAAATAAAACAGCCAAAGAGAAGTGAAAAAAGCAAAGCAAAAGCAACGGAAGAGCAAGCAAACAGCCAAGGACTGACAAAGAGGAAGCTAAGGAAGAACGATCAAAAGATGCAAGAGCAAATAATAAGCAACGAATCGGGAATGGAAGAGCTGGACATGTTCGGAAAGAGCAAAGGACAGGCAACAAACAAGACACCACAAAAAAATGGAAGAACAAAGAAAGAGCCGAGCAAAAGTAAAGAAAGAGTAAAGAGATGGTCATGAAAAACAAAGAAAATGCAACAAATAACGAATCTAAGAGCAATGAAACAGCAAAGTGAGGGCACATGAAGAGAAAAGAAAGAGAACAAGGAATAGCGAAGAAACTGTTAAGCAAAGAAAGAGCCAAGAAAGACACAAGAAAGAGACAAGAAAGTCAAGAAAGAGACAAGAAAGTCAAGAAGGAGCATCAAACGAGAAGAATGATCAAACAAAGACAAAAGAAGGCTAAACAAAAGGAGCAACCAATTACCAACAAAGAAACAGCAAATAGCATAAGCAAAGCACGAATCAAGGCTCAGCCAAGGCAAGACCGTTGCCCACAGCGCGAGCACATTGTCGGCGGGCATTTGATACACTCGGAATAGACAGCAATGCGAGCCCCAGCCACAAGCTAAGCAGCTAAGCATGCCAGAATCAAGAAGTCTTGCTTAAAAACGCTTCAGAATCTACAAAAGCAGCCCCTTTTGGGCGGGGTGCCCTCCAAGACCCGAGGCCCGACTGGCTGCCGCAACATTCAAAGTTTTCTGGGCTCCCCACAGAACGGAGGCAGCCTCGGCCAAGAATAAGCAAGCATGGCGTTGCAGAAACGACATGCAGCCAGTCTTGGCACCATGCTGTTCCTCCATAAACCTGCTGCTGCAGCTTGATAGTGTCCAACCTCAACCAAACATGGCAAGACGAACATCGCATCCGATTCTTGGTCAAAAGGCGAACGCAAGAAAAACGCTTGGCCCGGGACGGGAAAAGTGCAGCCTCTGCGCCAACCGAACCTTTGTCAGGATGTCATTTGATCGCACTTTGCACTTCTACGGCTCTCCCACGGATTTGCATAAGGGCCCACACTGACCAGCCCGGAGCGAACCTCAAACGAATCTGTCTGTCAGTGAGAACCCACGACAGCTGAGCCGTGAACCTCTTGCCAAACCTGCAATGCCCATTGTCGCTGGCAAGGAATACGGTTCAAACTTATCACAAGCCTGCCTTCTCCCAAACGGAGATGCTGGCCATGCTGGAAGCGCTGCTGGTTGGCTTTCACAATGAGGTTGAAAATACAAACCTCTTCTGCTTCACTTTGTTTTGTCAGCATGACAGAACTTGGGTCTCGGCCCTGTGTCTCGGTCATTGTGCTGGTCTTCTGCAATCACCACAAACACATGTAGTGAATACTCTGTGATAGCCTTGACACTGTCCGTGGACCACCTGGGTATAGCCAAGCTTTAGCACAAGCGTTCAAAGATGTACAATGTGTTAAGTGTGTTTCACCATGCAAGCCGCTTGGCCAGGAACAATGGTATGGGCCTCGCCAGTCTTTTGCTGAAAACGTCAATAGCGTCCACCTCAATTTTGGTCCTGCGCAACGCCTTGCTGTGGACGCTTTTTGACCACTACCCAGTCTAGTGCATTATCGATTCAGCCTCAAGTGCACACCAGAAAAGTGTGCTTGGAAAAGGCTTTAGAGATCAGACTTTGTACATAAGAATACAAAGAAGCACATGTCATCCAACAGTCAGCCGAGCCCAAACCTGGGCAAGAATGGGCAATGTGCATACAGGTGAATCGATATTATGTCCAAACCAAACAATCAAAGCGCTGGGTAAAGGTTGCCCAAAACTCTGGGAGCAGCCATAAGAATATGTCTGTGCATTGCGATGCTCCAAGGCTGCTGACAGATTGCAAGCCACACGTAAGACTGTGTCAAAATGCTCAAAGAGCATGTCAGAACGCACTCGCCAAGCTCGGAACCACCCAGCTGCTAAATGCCCAAAGGAGCAAATCTACCTTAACAAGTCCAGGCTAGTCTGGGTAAGTCTAGGCAACTCTGACATTGATGAGCATGACATCCAGCTAAGAGCTCTGCATCTGGTCGTGGAGACATGTGGACTGCCAGGCCCTTAAAGGAAGCCGCAGGTCGACAAGACAAACCATCCAAATGGTAAAGCAGCAAGACAAACCATCCAACATTCGAGAATCCTCACTTGCGGTTCACCCTTTGGCACTCGGCGGCGCGTGCTGCGCCGCAGCGGACCTAGCTTAAAAACGCTGGAGTGTTGCGCTCACCTTCGGGGGGCGCGAACACAACTCACGTCTGACACAGGTCTCTACGCAGCCTTCGAGTAGTCTAGGCCTTGGCGCGTGAATCGCTATGTCCGTACTCAGGTCGTACTCGGATCTCTGAGGCCAAGGCCTTTGAACCAGGAGACAGCATGCAGTCTCGTCCCTTCGAACGGACATCGGCCATGCATGACGAGGTAGTTGTCCAAAAGCACCATGTCGCCAGGCCTCAGTCCACAAGTGAACTGCATTCCCTGAGCACCTGAGGGTGTTGGAAAAGAGCCTTGTGAGAAAAGCCTCTTCTGAATTACAGAGACGGAAGCCACGTGCTTTTCCATTTCAATGTCCTAGCCCTGATTTGCTTGTCTAATGGCTGTAGGGCATTTTACCCATCAGTGCACTTGCCAAAGCGCGTGCCGAAACGATACTCCCAAGTAAGTCAGTAAAGCAAAGTAAGGAAAGATAAGTTAAGGAAAAGCACTCAAATTGAATGTGGTAAAACATGGTGTATGTATGTCAAAAACAAGTAGTAAGCAAGCAAGCAAGTAAGTAAGCAAGTAAGCAAGTAAGCCAGCAAGTAAGGAAGCCAGCAAGCAATTCAAAGCAAGGTAAAGCAAAGCAAGGTAAGCAACAAACTAACTAGCTAACTAACTATCTAACTAATAACAAGGTCATCACGCCATGAGGCGCCTGGTGATTTTCAAGGTTCACCCTTCTTGGTTTCAATGCGCCTGCCAATGAATTCAGCCTTTCTCAATAAAAAACTGTGGTTTTAGAATTCCCCCAAACTAATGTTTCCTCAGAGAAAACACCCTTCATTTGAAATCATCTCAATTTGGGCTCCATTTGCGTGGCGCACTGCCAACGTTGAGCAAATCAGATCACACCACGTCTGGAGCTCTCTTTTTTTGCAGCTGCATATCTTCGCAAGTTGGTTGGCGAGATCTACTTGATGCTCTCAGCCTCACCTTGAAAAATCGCAATCTGAGAAAGTTGGCGGGCATCTACTTGACGCTCTCAGCCTCCCCGTCGAGACAATACATACGCAGCAGCCGCCAAACGCAAAGGCAGCGCCCCGCGAGAACGCGAGACATAAGAGACACACGAAGACCACAGAACGTGATGATCATCACACAGCGCACGAAAGTCAATTGGAGAACGGTCAGGCATCGCAGAAGCAGCAATCACACAATCCAAAACTGGATCTGACACCGAAACAGCAGCAAAGACCTCAATGCGCTGATCAAGGAAAAAAGGGTACGCGCGCCAAGCAGACAATAGAGCCGGTGCGGCGGCGGTACTTTAGCAATGCACAAAAGCAACACGCAGGACAAGCAAAGAGCCACCGCGCGAGGATTGTACATTGCTGAACACTCGCTGAGAGCCAGCGATGCAACCGGAAACCTCTTTGACAACACGAAAACAAAAGCTGACATGAGGCTGAGATGCATGAATTTATTCTCATGCGGCGCAGTGAACGCGTGTGCTTACTACCCCCCCACCGCCCCCCCCACCGCCCTCCCCACCGCCCCCCTCACCGCCCCCCCCACCGCCCCCCCCCACCGCCCCCCCGCCCCCCACCGCCCCCCCACCGCCCCCCCCACCGCCCCCCCCACCCCCCAACCCACCCACCCCCCACCGACGGAAAAACATCTGAAACGCCACAAAACGGCCAGGCGCCCTGTGGCGGCACTAGCAACTAATAGCTAACTAAGTGAATTGTAAGTAAGTAAGCAAGTAAGTGAGCAGGTAAGTGTGTATGTAAGGAAGCAAGCAATGAAGTAAGCGAGCAAAAAGGCAAGCAAGCAAGAAAGAGCGTAGCCCTGGATTAAAAACCCTGTTGCAGCTGTTTTTCAAGCAGAACGCTCCATTATGTGACCCAAAGGGTGTTGCAGCTTAAACAGCAAGAAATAAGCAACAAACGTTATCTTTGTTTTGATTATCCTCGTTTTGCCGGTCCCCTGGGTTCGAGCAGGTCTTCTCTGGGGGAGCACAGTATCTGGCTGCAGGCCTGCAGCTGACACGCAAAGTAATGTGTTCTGAAGGATATGTTCACTTAGATCACGTTCCATGATGTTGTGATGTGTTTTGCTGTATTGTTCAATGTTGACGGCTCGAAAGAGGTTGCTGCGGAGTTTGCCAAAAAACACACACACATCCATGGCGTCTAAAGGCTCCAGAGTATTGGCAGGAACGCAAACTAGAGCTTTCTAGGCTGTGCCGCCTTGTCCCAGAGCACGGGCGCTAGCTTCAGCCAAAAGTAAGGCTACTTCTACGTGTCTGTTGCAGCTTGGGCTTAAGAGGGACGTGGCGATGCCTGTCGTAACGACCATTCCGAGTGAAAACACATCCCAAGAGTGACCGTAGACTTGACATTGGTCGAGCAAGAATTGAAAAACATGCGGGTAGTAGCCCGAAAAGTACTGCTCAAGCACTCATGGCATTTGGCACATGCTGCGTGCATGTGCATTGTTGGCAATGGCTGCAATCTGATGATTACGTGAGTTCCGACAAGGAAACGCGGGGTGTGCTATATTTTGGTGCCACCCTTGGAACTGTGAAGCTCATTGAGCTACGTAAGGCTCTTGCTCCATCTTGACTTTGACCGCGCAGTCCAAAGTTACTTTGTCCAGGTGCTCCAACCACTCCACCTACGCGCAATACATCTGCTTGCTGGAATACGTTTCTTAGCAAAGCTGCTTGCAGGCTGACGTTCAACAGCGGCCGGCCTCCACCTTGTCCCCTGAACTTCCGTAATAAACATCTGTCTTGTTGATCCGTGACCTTTGCATCGATCATATGCTGCTATTGCAAGCTGTGCTGGATTTGCCGCAGTGCTGAAAGGCCCAAGCGCTCCAGTCGTCTCCTGCACAGCGGCTGCCTCAATCGGTGAATCCTTCAAGTCAACCCTCTCCTGCGCTTCGCCAAACACTTTCTCGCGTGCTGAGCGAAGATGTTCCTTGGCTAGTTACAAATACAGCATCAGCATGCACACGACTAAGTGGCACATGATTGACAGTCCGTACACAGGCCCGTGCTTGACCGAGTCGCTGCATGGGAATGCATCGAGCCCCACCAGCAAGGTTCCCCCGTTGCAAAGTGACGCACGATGGGGTACTGAGGCATAGCACGCACCTCATTCTCAAATAGGCTCAACTAGGCTCATGCGAGAAAAGTTGTTGCCTGCAAAATCTTGCTGCCATCGTAGTCTGACTTTTCCCACCGCAGCTCTGTCTTGAAGTCAACCTCAGATCGATCTAACGCATTATCCGCCTGCTCGAACAAGCGCAAGCGAGGGACCTTCATCTTCAAGGCCTGTGGACAGTGAAAACAGCTGGCAAGGTGTAAGCCAACGCTGCATGCTCCAAGCTCTGACTTCTTCCGAAGTCGTGAACGCCTTCGGTGGCCATCTGGCTCCAAGCCATGAGCTGTCACTATACACAAAAGGCTGTGCCAGCCCCTCGCCATGCGAGGGAAAAGCCGGCCTGCGTCATGGCTCCATAAACTACTGGCTCGACGACGGGCTGGACAAAATCTGGTAGGCTCCTAAGACTGCACTGCTCAGTAGACGCAATTTTGAGGGTCTGCGACACCCAACATGGCCAACTCTCATGTCCAAAACAAGCAATGTAAGCAAGTTAAGCCAAGACTCTCAATAAATCCCATAGGGAATTCAGCTGTCGAGTACACAACGTCCTCACAGCAGGACTAAGGATTGCGCTTCATAATCCAGTGATCTTGTGCAAGCGAGACTGAATGTGCGCGCGCCAAGTGAGATCAAGTGATAGACTGAACGCGGAAACTAGAGGCAAGCAGCTGAATCGTAGACCTTCTTGAGCCACGCCTGCAATTCCAAACTCATTTGCCGGAATGCACCTGTCTGAGACGCTGCCCTCTATGGTATCCTGTTGTCTTAAAAGAATGCGAAGCCTCAATAATGACCTGCCTGATCCAGCTCTTTGAACATCCTTGGTTGCGATCACACTGTCGCAGGGACAACAGCATTCTGGCATATGAGCTGCTTTGCATACTGAACCTTCGCTGCAGTGTGCTTGCACTTTGTCTTGGTCTCATGAAGAGCTGAAAAGGTCAAAGGCTCTTTCGACCATCAGCAACCAAGAACTCTCCACCCTTCTCAGCTGCCTCGGCTGTGCTGCGATCTTGCCTGATCAGCTCACATGTTTCCGCTGCCATGCCTTGAAGCACACAAACAGGGCTGCTCCAGGTGCGCGGTCACCAACCATCCTCAGAGCTTTCATGCCAGACTCACATCACTTGCATCTGCACCTCAAAACTTGGAAATCATTCCAAGACTCTCGTTGTGCATCCCAATGTAGAATTTGCTCCTTGACCTCAAGCCAAAAGCAACATGGAACTGCGGAAGCTGGTGACATTGAACGTTGGCTTGCTTCATCCTTTGGCTCTGACGGTTTGTTCACTGCCTCATAGACGCCGGCTTTCTTGTCTACCGCATCTCGAGCGGCAACAGAATGCAAGGGATCCTTGAGAGCAGAAACGACTGGGCACTGGCCTTTTCGCACACGGTCCATGCGGGAGCCCAACATGCGCGAGTCCTCGCAAGGCTCGAGCTCCAGCGCCTTTCCCACCTGCAAATCTGAGCCCGTGGACAATTGGCAAATCGGCAAATGAGGTGTGTCCGACTGCAAACTCCGCGGTATTGATATTATGGCTGTGTGTCTGAAATTCTGGGTTCCCGGAATCGCCATCTTCGCAGGAAAAAACTTTCGCGGCCTCCATCGCCGATCTTTTGCGGGGCTATTTCACAGCATTCATCACAAAAGTAGAAAACCACATTCCGAATTCCAGCTTGCAAGTCCCAACTATTCAATACGCACGAAGTAAACTTCCGCAGCCCCAGCTCAAAAGTCGCAACTTCTCAGTTCCAAGGTACGCGAAGTGCACTTCCGCAGCCCCAGTAAGCCGCGCAGCAGACGACCCGTTGGCCACCTGTGGCAAGGTCCATCTTTCGCGGAACTCTCGCGGGTCTTTCGCCAAATACCAAAAATCTGGCTGGGAAGTTGCGCTCTTCAAAACTCCAACAAGCTTTCTGCTGGGGTTGCCTTTGCAGCGACTCGTATTCTCGCGGCAATCCTCAGGCCACGCTTTCCTCTGACTATCTTTGTGCATTCTGCGCGCGCTGCTGGCAAATACGCATGGTTCATCATTGCATCTTCCTTTTAGCAAACCACCCTTACACAAAACTTTTGTGACGTCCATCGCGAGGCTTTTGCAGAGGGTAACGCTAAGACAGAAAAGTCATCCCTGAAAACTCCAAGGTTGTAAGTGCGCCAGCAGTTCAAGGCTAACCATATCAACATGGACAAGCAATCAACGCACCTCCCCAAAGGTTGTCTTGTCCTTGGAGATCTCAAATCCACGGAACACGATAGCACCATATTGCTTCAAATCCTGAGCTTCTGAGAGACCAATGTTGCCAATGATGCTGATGCCACATGTCCGCCTTGTAAATCTGGGGTAGTCTCGAGGAAAAATATTGGCGTTGCCCCTGGCCGAGTCCAGCAATCGTGTGCAAAGCTCTGACTCCGTCTCAGGCTCAACGGATTGACTGAAACTCGTCGCCTCAACGTTGCCCTTCAGCTCTGCAGGCATCTTAATTTCCAGTGGACATGTCTCCACCTGCAAGCTGTGAGCACCAAGAGTGAAAGCTAAAGCCCTCAAGCCTTGAGTTGTTCCCTCTCAGATAGGATGTCAATGTCCTTCCGGCCTCAATTGGCCAGGTCTGCCAGCCTGCTATTCAAGAAGCTCGGCAATGTACAAGCTGCAACAAGCCTTGAGGATTCCAGGGCACGCACCATACAAGGCATATGGACAGTCAGCCAGACCATCCGCACATCGCACAACACGCTTGTGCCTTGCATCCAACGCCCGGTAGCTGCAACATGCAGAAATGAGAGGTTATGTGACTTTGTGTTCAGGCCCGTCCCCAGTTTGACTTCAGGGCTCAGCGCGGTGCGCTCGTCGAGGCTTCTGAGCCCCCGCAATGGCCAGGATCAAAGGCACGCCAAAGGCGCTTGCCACTCCGCGACTTTTGTGAGCACCATGTGCCCGAGTACTTTGGCAACCTCAGCGGATGTGACAAAATCTTACGCAACAGTATGTACAGTGCTGGTCACGACAACACTCGTTTGAGACTGCTGCCTCTCAGCCTGGCTGAAGGCTTGGCTGAAGCTGCAGCTGGCAGTGGATGCACAAACAGCCTCATCAGAGCAGTGGTGTTTGCTTGCAACTTTGTTGTTTCTGGCCATCTTCAGGCGCTTGCCTGCTGGTACAGGTGGCACAAGCCGCGGACGACGCCTCAGTGCTTGGACAATCATACAGTCGAGTGATTTACATTCCAAGCCACTGGGCAAGGCCATCTTGAAACAAAAGCCATTCAAGGTGCATGATACGAGCTTGATTCAAGTCAAGTCGCAGCTACGGCAGCCACAACCCGCTTGCCATCCATCTCGTCGCAAGTCAAAAATGGGCTCTACCACAAGCGAAGAGCCATCAAAGCTTGTCCGACGAGCAAAGCTAATGCAGCGTCGTGACGTGCAGCCCACTTTGCAAGCCCTTGCGCTTGGGCCTTTGCACGATGTGTATCTGTCGGATACCTCAGGCGGGTCAACATTCTGCAGTCAAAGATGTTGTGCGTGGAAGCGCCTGCAGAAATACCCGATACAGGCAAAAGCGAATCATACACACGAGATCCTGACTCCAACGGCCTATGTGAGACGCCAGTGTCCTCTCGGCTCATTGCATCTCCGTGCTAACACGCGGGCTGTGAAGTAAATACCTTGAACTGGTGCCTGGTGCCCCTACGTGTCTGCATGGCAACTGATGACTGCACAAATGCCTGACATGAGACTGCTGTCTGTGGACCCTCATTCAAAAGCCCCACCTGTTTTGCGCTTCGCTTAGGCTTGGTTTGTGAATGCCTGAGGGCTGAGACAGTCCTTGATTAAACTCCACCCAAATTCATATTAATGTCGAAGCTCACCCTGATTGAGCCCTCAACCCACCCAAGCCAACCTCAAAGCATTGAACACCCCTACACCAACGACACACAGGCTGCCCAAGTCTTAACCTAAACAGACCTAAAGCAGTCAAACCAGATAAGAACAACAGCAAAACAATCCCTTCAACCAAACAAGCGACTGACCCAAACGCCCGACCAACCCGACCAATCCGCTCCACCCGAGCTTAGGAGAGCAGTCCCATTCTGCATCGAAACGTTTTGCCTCACAGAGAGCTTGGCAGGAGTTCAGCTCCGCTTCGGCTTCAGCGACAGCCTATGCCCACGAGTCAGGACAGTCAAGTAAACAAGTCGCAAACATCACAAGTGGCCCGCAGGCCTGCTTGATGGACTCAGCAACGACATCGTACCATGTTTTCAAAGCCCAGCCTCAAGCTGTAGCTCACCAGACTGTCCCTTGAGCTCTTGGTTGCAAACGCAGGCGACGGAAGTCCAGCTTGAGCTCTTGCTTCCTGAGAAGGGGAAAGAGCTCCGGCTTACTTTTCCGCCAGTGCGACTTACATTTGCACTTTTGCTGTCCCTGTTCAATCAAATCGACCTTCCGGAGGTTCGGGCTTCAATTTAGAGTGTGCGCGCTTGAGGGCCTGTTGTTGGTGTAGTTTTAAGGTTTAGGCCTTAGTGGTCAGCAACAAGCCACCGGCCTCACTCTGTAAGTCTTCAGCACCAGCGACCACCATCCTCAGTATGCATGTTGAAAATGGCAAACAGCACATCAGGCTGTCTGAGGTCAAAACGCAAGCTTATCAATTCCAATCGCAAATGTGCTCCCTGCCATATGCACCATGACCACCTTGCAAGTCTGAGATTGGAAAGGGAAGGCCTCCAAAAGCTGCAAGGCTGCAAGACGATACCAATATTCCTAGAGACTTTGAGTGCGGCGCTGCATGACAGGCAATGCCGCATCGCTCAACCTTGGGCATTTGCCAAACAAAGCGCGTTGCAAAGCCTTGCGGTTCAAAATGTTCTGCGGCAGCTGCAGCATGACGGCCAGTTTCCTCAGTCCAATTGTCAAGAAACATCTTGGGCGGTGGGAAAACCACCAGAAACTTGTCAAGAAATTTGAGGGTGGTTCTCAATTCAAGGTGTTGTTGTACGGGTAAAAAACGGTTAAATCACAGATCCAATCGGGCGGTTGTGTGGTGTCCAGTCCCTGCAGAAAATGATAGCCCAGAAAGCACCTGCTAGAACAGCTGCGTACAATGAATGGCTGAGACTGGAAATGCAAACAAGAAGCAGCCAACGCTTTGGTACGGTGGCAATGCTGCACGCTGCATGGGCCCTGAGTTGCCAGATCGGCTGGCCCCGATGTGCTCCACGCTTCTATGCCCATGGCACATTCATTCAAGCACATTCCAGCGTCTTGACAGCAACTCAATCATTCAATTCTCCAAGCTGCGTCGGCAGCAAGCAGAGATGTTCCGACGGGCTTGTGAATTCCATTGCGATTGCCTTGACACCAATGCTGCTCATGCCAGCCACACAATTGCCTGAATCATGAGTCGTGCTGCTTGCGCTGCACAAAAAGGCGCATGCTGCATGCCCCAATTATCCATTTCAAGTGTAGGTTGCCGACGCTACTCGCCTGTTCCTGGACATGCCTGCTCTGACAGCCAATCTTTGCGCTAATGCCAATATAGATTTGAATTCGCCACAACTGAGCTGGCCAGACCTACACAATTCTCTCACGCCTTGGCGAGCTCCATGTCAAGGAAAGGCCTGGAGTCTCCTTTGGACTATCAGGCCAGGGGCTCATGACCTGCATTGAAATCAGTCCCATGCAATTTGTCAAGAAAGCGTGCAGCTGGAGGCCCAGCAAGAGATGCGTCGCCGCTGAGATCTGTTTCTTTGCACATGATCCTAGCGACGGCGCTCTGTGCCCTTTGTGATGCGTGCACCTCAGCTCCGTCCGTCCTGCGAGCCTGGGTGCGAGTAAACCATTGCACCAAGCAGTCATGAGCCCTCGCCCATCGAGATGCAGAAACCATGGCCTCAGGATACTTCATTACTCCGGGCAAAATGCCAGCTGCAGCGTTGAGTAGCATTGATGCTGCAGTGCCCGGCTGCTAGCGCCATGGAAGCCCGCTGAATTTGATCCTGAGGTTGTGGACATCTCCGGAAAAGGGAACATGGTGGCCAGATCATGTTTGCATGGCTTGACTTATAGCCCATAGCCTTGAGTCATTGAGAGTATATTGCTGGCAAACTTAAGGCACACTCTGTTGTCTTTCTGAGTCACCGGCGTGGCGCATAGCTGAATCTCTCGCGCTGCTGTGCCAAAACCACAGCGCTTGAGTCACAACCTGGCATACGAAGCGGCTGTTTGGCGCACACATCTGCATATCATGTGCATGTATGTATATGGTACCCCCCCCCATGGACCCCGGCTTGTTGAGTTTGAGCTGTGTTTTTCCAGTTCTTTACGCCTTTCTTGCCTCGTTGATCTTGTGGCCAGGGGGGGAGTGCCATATGTATATATACGTGTGTGCATAGATTTGTCATGCAAGCAACGATATCAACACCTGCCATCTGACAGAGCCTGCATTCATCTCAGAGTATTGGGACATCCCTGGAAATTTTACTTTATTTACAAGAACAAGGAAGACAATTGTGGATACAAGATTCAAGAATCTGAGAAAATTCGCTTTGGGAATCTTATCTTGAATCCCATTTTTTGATGGAAAAAAACAAGAATACAGGGTTGTCCCAGATTTAAAGTCAGAGGAGTTTTTCGGGCTGGCCAGGATTGATGATTCTCAGGAAAGTTGTTGTCTGTGCAATCTTCAATTTTGACTCCTCGATCCAGTGATAAGGCACTTTCAAGTGTTAGAAGAACTTGAATGCTGTTTGGGTTTACGATTCTCAGGAAAGATTTCTGTGTAATGTTCAATGTTGAATCTTCCATCCAGTGGTAAAATACTTTCAAGTGCTTAGCGATCCAGTGGAACCGCTTTCAAGTTCTTAATTAGGCAAACTTTCAAGGGCTTTTGGTGAGCGGTTTCTTTCATGTAAGCTATGCTCATGTTGACCCTTTTCCAGAAGGCAAAGGTAGGTGTAATGCTGAACACACTAACTACATTTAGTAGCATTTTATGAAGAGGCGCAGGATCATGAGGGGTTCTATATGTTTGTATGCATGTGTATATCCCCTGAACTACCTGTCCACCTCTGCTCATCTACTACCTCCGCCTTTTAAGATATAATAAAATATGATTTCCTGCCCAAATACAATTGATTGAGCTAGAATCCCTGTTTTGAGGTAGCTTTAGACTTTGAACCTCTCTCCACAAAAAATGTCCATGTTGAAACACCGCCTAAGAAGTTTGATTTTGCACCTTTCTTAAACTAAAAAGCCAGAACGTTAAATTGTTAGCCATATCAAATATGAATTGCATTTGAGAACTAATTTGTATTTAGTTGTTATATTATCAAATGCTAATTGAATTGTGTTCGTAATAGATTACATTTAACACTTTAACTCCTATTTAGTTTCTGTTGTTAAAGATGAGTTGGAGTTTACCCGAAATTATGTTTACATGTTAATGTAACTCCTATTGGGGAAGGATTTGTTTACTTAAAACATGACTGAACGTAAGACACATTATGGAAAACTATATCCTTACTAAACTATATTCAAAATCCAAAGTTGAAGTACAATTTGCTTGGGTATCATTCACAACATTTTGGAGGACTTCCGGCTCCAAACTATCAGGCGTTGGGGACCCAAAACTCGAACTTAGAGATTTAAATCTCTAGATTCTAGATTGATCATCCCGAAAAGGCACTAAAACTAGGATCCGCGAGGGGGTGCATATGCATATATATATATATATACCCCCCCTTGAAATACTCAGGTTTTTGGGCAGAACTGAGGTTTTTGGCCAGACTGGGGGTGACAAATGCCTTGAGACTCTGATTTGAACTGGACACTCAACTCCATGCAAATTCTAACCAAGCAGAAGTTAAGCTCAGCGTTGATTAGGAGTTGCGAGTTGTGTGACCGTCACATTGGCGTGCGCGAAGTGCACTTAAAGTCACATTGGAGCATGCAAAGTGCAATTTCGCAGCTCCAGCTCAAAAAACACAACTGTTCAGTACAGGAGTAGTGCGCGAAGTATGTTTTGGCAGCTTCAACGCGCCTGTAGCAGCCCTATTACTTGGTGTTTATTAGTTTTGTTTGGCAGCGAAATTCAGCAAAACATCAACTCGAGGAAAACGAACTCATTCCTAGCGCATGTCCTTGCGCAGTTGCATTTACATGTTAACTCGAGTGCTGTGAATAATTCTTGACATGCTAGTTCAGTCTATTTGAAACATATGTTGCAAAGTAACTATCCCACGGTTGTGTGTGTGTTGCTTGTCTAAGTTGGTTCCATCATCGCCAATGACAACTATTGAAATTCAAGTAAGGGAAGAATATCCAGTTAAAAAAGCTTTCGAGTTCAAACCATTTCCAAAAGCAACTGGAGAAGATAGCTATTGTCATGGCCAAACGAATTTGGAATCAAACTCAATTTTGAAAGGGTTATTGCCCTTATCGAACTCCGTGTGGTTTGAACCAAGCAAGAACTGAGCCAAGACAATGACAGGAACGTGTTTTCAATCATAGATCCTATTCTTTGCATAAATGCTGCACAACGCAGTGTTTTCAGCATTTGCTCAGATCGTGTTGCCCTGGGTCGAACATCGAATATACAAGATTCCACAAACATATGCTTAGAATATACTCAATCCTGGTCCCCAAAAAACTTGACAGTTTGTTCTAGACTCATTAAGGTTTCGCCCCCTGCCCTCCTGGCCAGCCCTCAAGTCCACTAAAAAACTGTAAAGGTGTCAGCAACATGTTTCCCCCTGGCCAATTGCAGGCAGTGCAAGTGCACATCCACATTTTGATTCTGACAACGTGCACTCCCCGTCTGCATTTTGGATTCTTCAAATCCGCACTTAAGGCAATCCAGGATCTGGATGGGAAATTGAAGATTCTCTGACAACTCTTTCTGAAATTCTCCAAATATGTACTTAGAGTAATCCAGGATGTGCTAGCACGTGCTAGCACATCATGGATTGAAGAAGGAAGATTGAAGATTCTCAGACCCCTTGTTCTGGAAATCTTCAATCCATCCTGAGGACAAACTGGTATGTGCTAGCACGTGCTGGCACATCCTGGATTGAAGATTGAAGATTGAAGAATCCCAGAGAGAGTTGTCAGAGAATCTTTAATCTTCAATCTTCAATCCAGGATGTGCTAGCACGTGCTAGCACATATCAGCTAGTCCTAAGGACGGATTGAAGATTTCCAGAACTGGTCTGAGAATCTTCAATCTTCAATCTTCAATCCAGGATGTGCTAAGTACCGATGCTAGAATTTTAAGTCTAAAAAGGAGTGCATATTTTGGAGCCTCATTTTAGAAGCTGGAACGTGTGTGTTGCATGCATTTTTACAGCCAAAATGTCAATTTCTGTCGTATTCCAGGGTGGGTACCATATATATATATATATATATGCTACCCCCCCCCCCCCAGGTACCCAGGTTTGGCCATATATATATATATATATATATATATATTGAGGTATGTCATATAATGTGATATTGTGTTATGTTATAGTTATAGTATAGTATGTTGCATTATAGTAAAATATATTATATTAAGGTATACAATACATTATATTGTAGTATAATGTATTACATTACAGCATACTCCATTATATTGTAGAATATTGTACTATGTCATATGTTACGTTACATGATGTTGTACTTGCATGCGTTTGTGTGTGTGCGTCACATTTGGTTGTGCATCTAAGTTAAAGGCATGCCAATACGAGAGCTCCGAAACCGAAGACTCGCCTCAAGCAGCTTTGCGTACGCTGCCAGTGGTGACTTATGGACAATCCCGTGCCGTGCAATTCGAGTCAAGCCGCACACCAAGCCAGTTAGTCAGGATTTGCGGGTGGAAAACAAAATGAAGCCACAATTACCCAAGTGAGAACTATATACTGGTCTGAAAATCTGATTGGCTCAATTCCACGGTCGCATAGCACAAGCTGTTGCTTCGTGACAGAGGCCACCAAACTTCGCACAAGCTCAAGCCGTGCTTTGGGTTTGGCATAGCGACGATGAACGGCTTGGTCTCGGGCCAGCTTTTGAATGTCCGCTTGCGCCTCTCAAAATCAAGTTTGCGCCTTGCGCTTTCCCATACATGCGGGACAATCCACAATCGTACGGGTCGCTCCGCTCGCCTGCTTGGTGCGTCGTCTGTGCCTTCTCTTTCTCTGCATTGCCTCCGCCAGCATTTTCCGACATAATGCGGTTATGAAACTGGTGAAATGACCAAATCACCAAATCACCCGCTGCCAAGCACAAGCTTTGCTTGCCTGTGCCCAAGCTAACAGGCTGCATCGCAGCAAGCGCAACCCCTGCCTACGGACGGCAACTGGACGCACTCCCAGACTCACTCAGACTGGCTGAGAACTCGGCTTGTGCTGCCAAGGTGTTGGACCAGACCCAGCAGGTCCTCATGTTTTAGTATTGGCCAAACAGAAAGCAGTTGATGAGTCCAAACTGCGTGGGCCAAGGAAGCAATTCCTCTCTTGGAGCATCGCCCACAGTGTTGGCCTCTCGCTGTCGACGATCTTCGATGAGTCGACCTCCCATGGAAAGGACTGTACAAGGCAAATCCTCAAAGCTGACACGTTTGACACTGCAATCTTGCACCGCTTGACAAAGCAAGACTGAGATATGAGCCTAAAGCCGCCTGCCATCTCTGAAAGGCAGCTTGTGCTGCGCTGTGTGCCTCGAGCGAACTTTGTTTTTAGGGGCATCTGTCCAGCCCACAACATAGACTCCAGCACATCATGTATGCCAATCATATGCCTCACCCCACGTTGTCGACATGTCCAGCTTTATAGGGTCAATTTGTGAGGGATATGAGGGGATGAGGGACAACACTACGGGTCGCTCTGATTCTACTGTGTCCAGTACTGCCATATTTAGCGTAGCTCATGCCTCGAGTCCCCGCATGAGTCTCTGACGGCAATGACTTTGGCCGCGTGCAAACCATTCCATCTTTGCAGCGTGAGCTGGAGACAATGCACCTAGGCAAGGGGAAGCAAGTGGAACCTGTGGCTCTCTACGTGGAAAGAAAGAACATTACGCTGTTGCCATCTCTTTCTCATCTCATTTCAACACGTCAATGTCACAAAGCGTAGCGCCTTGATCTGCTGGCGGCACTCTGCCTCGCGTCGTCTGAGCCTGTCAGCTGGTTGATTCTCGAGGCGCCATCTCGCAACCAACTCTTGCAAACCAGAATGTGCTAGGCTGACGATTTTGCAGCAATCCAGCGCAGGAGTGCCTTGCTGCACTAGGAGCTTTAAAAAGCACGAATGGAAGGCATGCCCACATCGATGCAAGAAGGACAACACAAGCCCAACTTGGTCAGGCTGCAAGTTTGGCGCAGCAGATTCTGCCTGAGTCGGCCCAGGTAGAAAAGAACCCAAGACCCACAGAATGCTCAGATTCATAGAATGCTATACATCTCATGAAGTTTGAGCAACTGACATCGATCAGACACTGCAGCAACAGCCCTAAACTTTCGTGCGGCCGCTTGCAAGCCTGCCAAGCATGGCAATCTGTCTGTGAGTCACTTTTCAGCAGCCATGAATCACAGCAAACTGCAAACTTTGCGAATACATCGTGCACTGGCCTGCCCATGCAGCGGACACCAGGCGCACAGCGGCAAAGCTTCTTGCTTTCCAAATGCCAACCTGGGAAGGGGATGACATGGACTTTGAGCTCATAGGGCCAGGGCCAGGCATGCCATCAACACTCTGTTCAAAGGATCTCAAAGGCTGATGCACTGATGGCCCACTATAAACAAGGCAACGCCGATACATAGCACAATGCACAGCTTCTCTGACTTGGCAACCACACCCATCGCTGAACAGCAATATGCAAAGACTTTGCTTGCTGCTTGTTCAGCACCTGCAGGCAAGGTATGGGCCAAACCAGGCAACAGGAAGGCTCACACATTCTCACACATCCATGGCACAGAAGCTGGAACTCGAGGCCCTGACCAGCTTGGTTGCCCGAGCGCAGTGCCAAACATGGCCCCAAGCCCGGCAGGCTTTGCGCCTGCAAACATCTGCAATCCAAAGAAGCTCTGCTTTTTCATGCGAAAATGGTTTAATGGCCCAACAGTTTCGGCACCCGAATCACGCGGTGCCTTAACGCCAGCAGCTGCTTACATTCCAGGTCTGCCATCCCTCCTGAAATCCTTGCAGAATTTGCAGCGATCCAAGAAGTCAAAGCATTGCCACTATGCGCTCAGAGCCAGTCGCACCCTTTTGGTCGATTCAAGCAGGAAACGAGTTCTCATGCGGGGTTTGTGCCTTGGTCTTGCATGCCGACACAAACTTGTCCACGCGGAGGCAACCTTGAGACTTAGACCGATGCCTCAGGAGTACATAGCTCGGGAAGCCACTTTGCACAACCACTAAGATCGGGAGAAGGGACGCCGATTCCTGCACACATAGAAATATCTGTGGACTTTCACACTTCTCGCGTCTGTTCCTAATAAGCAGTTTAACAGAGCACATGTCCATGCCTCGCCCGCTTGAATCGCTCGGGCTTGAGGTCGTGACTTCAGCCTCATGCTTCCATAGACGGATCTCTGCCAGCACCTCAAGTTTTATTGGCTAGCTGCACTCACAAAACCCTGTCCGGCCGAGATGCATGATGCATGAGTTCCGGATCCTGGTCTTCCTCCTCCAGCTTCTCCAGCAATGTGCTGATCTTGAATGTGACCTCCTTCTGATTCACAAGGAAAGGCCTAGGATCATACACGGAAGAATCGATGCACGGCGAAGTTGATCAAATAAACTTAGCACCTGGCACAATGTCCAAATATTGGCGCGAAAATAAGAGCATGTCGGCAACCACGGAAAACTCTCGCACTCGCAATGCCATGTCCTTGATGAGCCGCACATGGACTGCACGGACTTCAAAAGCACTGGTAAGTGACACCCGCAAAAGAGCCTCGGGTGTGTGTGTGTGTGTGTGCGTGCGCGTGCGCGTGCGTGTGCGTGTGCGGTGCGGCGCAATGCGGAGCGGCGCAGATAAGTTCAGTGCAGCGCATGCATGCTGCGTGCCTCCATGTCTGTGTGTGTGCAAGTGTGTGTGTGTGTGTGTGTGTGGGTCTGTGGGTGTGTGTGTGTGTGGGTGTGTGTGTGTGTGTGTTTGAATGTGGGTTTGTCTCCCTCCACGCGTGCGTGCGCATGTGTGTTAGTTAGTGTGTGTGTGTGTGTGCGTGTCTCCGTGTGCGTGTGTGTCTTTGTGTATCTGTGTCTGTGTGTGTGCATGTGTGCGTGCGTGCGTGGGTGCGGA